GGGCCAGGCCTGACCTCTATGACATGCCATTCTGTATGGTGCCTCCTAGTAGAAATTGCAGGAAAAAAAAAAAAAAAAAAAAATTCAGACCCTCAGTTGCACTAGCCACACTTCAAGTGCTTAACAGCCACTTGTGGCTAGTGACTACTGTTTTGGACAGTGCAAAAGAGAACATTTCTATCATCATGAAAATGAAACATTCTAGAGCATATCTTAACACTCCCCTCAACTGTATTTCATCCCTGCTAAGCGCCAACAGTGCCCAAGCCTTACTGGTACTTCCTTTGCTCTGTGTCTTTGCAGACGCCACTTCCTCCACCTGGAACATGCCCCGTTCCCCACCCTCATCCTCACGCCATCCTCCCCTCACAGCCTGCTGCATCCCTTCCCACCCCTACCTGTCCTCAGCCCCAGGACTGCCTCCTCTGACCACTCAATGCCGCAGGTCTGTGCCTCTGGCGTACATGGGTCACTGTTCCTTTGCAGCCTCGACCCCCCCAGGTGGCAGTGAAGGATCACACTACACACTGCTGGAAAGGCAGGCAACACAATCTACACTGATGCTGGATTTGAAAACTTGACTTCATTCTGAGCTCCTCTTCTGCCACTAGCTACTCCATTCATTCATTCAGCACGTGCCAAGTGTCCATTCTCTGCTGAGGCCTGGGCATGTGCAGGAGATGGAGAAAACCCGAGGAAACCCAGCTCAGGCTCTCAAGGAGCTCACAGTCCAGTGGCCTTGGTCAAGTCCTTCCTTCTTCTCCTCCTCCTACTCCTCCTTCTCCTCCTCCTATTTCTTCTTCTTCTTCTTCTTCTTCTTCTTCTTCTTCTTCTTCTTCTTCTTCTTCTTCTTCCTCTTCCTCTTCCTCTTCCTCTTCTTCTCCTCCTCCTCCTCCTCCTCCTCCTCCTCCTCCTCCCTGACGTACATTTTGTTTACTAACCTTTTCCCAGCTGCAGTGCATTTTCCTATCTTCATTTCCCTACGTCCCAGCTTCTTATTTTATTTTTGATTCTGTTGTATTACAGGTATATGGTAAGCTGCCTCATATCACTCTGTTTTGTTTAGTATTTCAATAAGGCAGGGGATGGATGAAAGAGGAATTGATAGATACATATACTTGTGCATGAACCGCTGCACTGTGGTTCCTTTTCATAACCTCAGTACTCTGTCCCCAGCCCCCAGAACGGAGTAGGAGCTCAGAAAGACACTGTGCTGAAAGTTTTCCAGCACCTGCTCGTTAGTTTGATCTGTAAAACAACCCTGCGAGGTGAGTGATGCTACTTCATTTGACAGGTGAGGGAACTGAGGCTTAAGGTCCCACATTTGGTAGGTGACTGAGTCAAGATTTCTTGACTGAAGATTTCTGCAGGGCCAGGTGCAGTAGCTCATGCCTGTAATCCCAGCACTTTAGGAGGCCAAGGCAGGCGGATCACGCTGAGGTCAGGGTTCAAGACAGGCCTGGTCAACATGGTGAAACCCCATCTCAACAAAAATACAAATATTAGCTGGGCGTGGGTGGTGTGCACCTGTAATCCCAGCTACTCGGTGAGGCTGAGGCAGAAGAACTGCTTGAAACCTGGGAGGCAGAGAGGTTTCAGTGAGCCAAGATCGATGCCATTGCCCTTAGTCTGGGCAACAGAGCCAGAGTCCGTTTTCAAAAAAATAAAAAGAAACAAGATTTGAATCTGCAACAATTGTTGGATCCAAAGTGTTTGCTTATTTTTACTTTCCGCCCTCTCTCTTAGCCTGATGAGCAAGACCCTCTAGGTTGCACTTGTGCAATATGGTAGCCACTAGCCACATGTGGCTATTTATATTTAAATTAGCTAAATTAAAAATTCAGACCTTTGGCCCGGCGCCAGTGGCTCAAGCCTGTATTCCCAGGCACTTCGGGAGGCCGAGATGGGCGGATCACGAGCTCAGGAGATCGAGACCATTCCTGGCTAAACAGGTGAAACCCCGTCTCTACTAAAATACAAAAAAAACTAGCCGGGCGAACGGGGA